ACCCGGCCCAGCAACGACCAAGCCACCACTGGAAGCCCCCTTGTCTCCCCTGTGCAAATGAGGGGGGTGCCACAGGCCTCAATCCCACCCCTCCTCCTTCCTCCTTCTTCCATCACATTTCCTTCTCCTTTCCCCTCTCCCCCTCCCTCCCAACTGCTCTGCAACAACATCATAGAATGTGAAAAAATATATATATTAAAAAATAATTAATTAATTAAAAAAAAAAAAAAAGAAGCTGTATGAAATGTCCAGAACAGGCAAATCCACAGAGATAAGAAAGCAGATCAGTGCTTGTCAGGGGCCAGGGGGAGAGAGATTCAGATAATGACTGCTTACTTGGTACAGGGTCTCTGGGGTGATGAAAATATTCTGAAAGAAGAAAGTAGTGATGGTTGCACAAGACTGTGAATGTCCTTAATGCCCCTGAATTTCACATTTCATAATGGTTACAATTGTAAAATTTATGTTATGTGTATTTTACCTCAATAAAAAACATCATTGTCAACAAAATCAAACCAGAAGGGATGCCCTAGACAGTGTCCTGGGAGCCAGGTGATGCTGGCAGTGAGAGGACATGGGGTAGAATGAAGGCAGGAGCCATGGTGCACTGGGACGGGCCTGCTGGAGGGGGCACTGCTGTACTGAATCAAGAACGCGGCACGGAGGTTCAGATTGCCCACGCCCCACACCAAGCAACTAGAAGAACCTTCCAAGCACCTCAGGAAGGAATCGGCTTTAACCACTGCTGGTCCCAAGAGTGCAAAGCCTCCATCAGCCAGCACCAGCCACACCAGACACTGCACCTGCCAGGGAAAAGATGAATGAGGGCCAGAAAGCATAAAAGCGACAGCCCCTCTCCCACTGCAGAGGGCCAGGTGGAGATTTTAATTTCAATCAAGTTTAAGTTTGTATTATTGTGTGAGACTGGACAATTTCAATAATGGAATTGAGGCCTGTATGTGACTTTAAGTGACTTTTTACCCCAGAGTGATGAGAAACATTGGGGTCTGCTGGTGTTTGCGTGCAGGGACAAGGGAAAGACTCACTGCACTGAAGTTAAACGGGACAGTAGGAAACAGAAACAAAAAATCAGCAGGGGCTTTGTGACTATGCTCTAGGAGTTAGTTCCACATGTCCACTATGCTGGAGGCACACGCTTATTATGTCTCCCACGCTGAAAAAGTGTGTGTCCCTAGATCTTGAAGCTTCCTGCTCCATTTCTGCCTCTCCCTCTCTACACCTCTCCCAAACATCTCAGAAGTGTCACATGCACTCACTGTCCCCACTCCTTCCTGTCCCACCCCACCCCCCACTGCCATCTACCTTCAGATCCAAGGACGCCCTTCGAATGGTTTCACTGCTGTTAGAAGTTAGGATGCGCTCATCGTGTGAGCCCCAGGATGCTCTTGGATCTCTGTGCTGCTGCCCTGGTTCTCGCCTACCTCTCTGACCATTCTTACTAGTCAGTCTCTTTGTGAAAGCTCCTTCAACCCAGAAACAGTGGTGTTTTCCTTTCATTCCTGAATGTGCCTCTGGGCAATCTAATCTCTTTCTAACTATTTGCAAACCCTAATCCCTCTCTGAGCCTCCGAGGCCACTCACCTGTCTGCACATTCAGTAAATATCTGTGGCATGCCTACTATGCGCCAGGTGCTCATCCGGCACTGGGGCTATAGCTGTGAAGCAGACAGCCATGGCCCTGGCTTCATGAAACTTACAGACTAGTGGGCAGTAAAGGAAAACAGAGGAACCCTCTCTACAAAACGTCCACAGAAAGATTTGTATTATGTTTCAATCCTATTTTTCCACAATTTTTTTGAAGAATGCTTGTATCTAGCAGTGGCTCATAATATAAGCCCTAAGGCTCCTCAGAAGATTGGTTTTAAGGCATTTATAAACCTCATGAAATTATATGCAAAGTTCTGTCCACTTACACACATTCAGGGGGGATATGATCTGTGGCTCTCATCAAATTATCAAAGAGATCCTTGACTCAAAAGTTTAAAATCTCCTGGTGTAATGATGGGTTGTTGATGTGGCACAGAAATGAAGTCATTCTAGAGAATAATCAGGGCTTCAGACATGGATTTGGGAGCCTTCTCTACAAAGAGGCAAGAGCTAGTCAGTGCTTCACAAATGCTTACACAGAAGACACTGCAGAGAGGGTGGGGGACACACCGTGGGGGTGGAAGGGAGATTTCAACAGGCTTACCTCAAGCTCCAGGGAGTCTGGCCATGCTTCTGGTTCTTCTATGGCTTTGAGGATACTTTCTTCAGTCCCCCAGCCCCAGAATACCTCATACCACAGGTGCCCAGACTCCCAATGTAAGAAGCATGGACTAAGGATATCCTGGGAATGACAGGTCCCCAAGGGAGCAAGTATAGAGAAAAGACCAAGTTCTGGTGGGCCCAGGTGGTCAAATGCAGTCTAGAAACATGTTGGGTCCTCATAGGTTAGAGGAAGAGGGATTTACTGACAACACTTAGAAGTCAGGAAATTTCACAAAGCATCTAGATGTACAGCTTCTCTTGAAAGTCCGAGGACCTGATTACGCTGGCCCCGTGTCCCCCAGCACCATCACGTGGGGCCGGTGGCAGCTGCCTCCTCAGGTGAGCGTGTGTTCTACACTCCCACCCCTACCCTGCACCTGGCCCTTGTCCCCTTTAGTGGCACCTGCACACTCTCTCCACCCGAAACTCTGACGTAGACAGAGAAGAGAAGAGCAGAGGACAAACAGAAAACCCTGGACAATCACTATTTACCAGGCAGAAGAAAAAAACAGACATATAAGAAGAAACAGGAAAAGAACTAAAACAGAAAAGATATCACTTCCCATAATGTAAAACCTCCTATAATATGTTGTCTACTGGGAAGCTTCAGTATCTAAAGACTCATCTAATCTCAAGGTATTTGGATTATGAATAGTTCTCCTCCTTCTATCCTTTAATAGAGTGAAATCGTAACTACTAAAATTTTGGCATCACAGTGAGAAGGGAAACCACCATGTCCTAATGTTTAAGAAACCTTATTGCATCTGCTTAATAATATCAGAAGAACCATAAAAATTCCTTCCTACAATTATATATCCCCTCAACTATTAACAAATTAAGCATTTCATAAGTTAAGATCCATTAAAAAGAGATCATTGGTATTGGATTCTATTTTGTACACCAGAGATGCATCTAATATTAATGACTCATGATCAAGACTTTCTTGCATCTTTTTAAAGTGCATATTAATCATCTGTCACCATAATGTCACCATAACTCATGAAATACAAGCTAACCTCTTGCTTAGCACCTCAGACGCTCGGGGACAGACATCACAGACATGTGCTGGGCACCCCACAGCTCCTCCGCACTGCAACCTCTTCTTTCCCTCTGCTGTTCGCACTGACGCTCACACCCTCATTCCGTTACATGTCACGTGGAGGCCAGCTGTCCATATGTCAGGGAGGACGTGTCGTTTGGCTAAATATGAAACTCACCGTCTGTCGTCCATCATTTGAATTTCATCCCCTTAAGATCTGGAGGCCAATGGGTCTTCAAGCACTTGCCATTGAGGTCTAAAAATCCCCTAAGGTTATGCTTTGGTTCTCAGGTCACACATTAGTGATGAGTCTATGTTCCTAACTGCAGAAGTCAAGAGAATGGACCCGCGGCAGTGCATGAATGGTGTCCCCAGCTAAGGAAATTACAGGCCCCAAAGCTTATCTCCCCTGGTGCACACATATGCCCCAGGTAGCTCTGCCATATGCAGTTTGTCAGCTTTCAGTTTGAGCAGGTAGAGAAGAGAACCTCTCTGAGAAAGAACTTCATGACCACCTGCAAAAAGTCCTCATCCACAAGCACTCCCCTAAAATTAGGAAAAGGTAAGCAGGCCCCTCTTCTGAATTCAGACAGGACCATGATTTTAAGAGTCAGTCTGACCCCTAAGTAGAACTCACAGAAAGTACTGAATTGTAGCTTGGGTACCATCTCGGTTGAAAATCGGAGCAATTTTGGTGGGCTGAGCAATGTCCCTCTTCCTCAAAGCACATGCACATCATAACCTGGAACCTGTGAATGTTACCTTATATGGGAAAAAGGACTCTGCAGGTGTGATTAAGTCAAGGTTCCCGAGATGGAGAGATTCTCCTGACTTGTTCATGTGGACTCCAAACCTAATCACAAGAGCCTTTAGCAGAGGAGACAGTCACATGATAAAGGAAGCTGGACAGAAAGAAGATGTAGCACAGCCATGAGCCTGGGCAGGAGGCGGCCCTAGGAGCTGGGAAGGCGAGGAACTGGGTACTCCACGCAGCCTCCAGCAGGACAAGCCCACCTGATGCCTCGACTTCAGCTCCATAAGGCTCATATCAGACTCCAGACTTCTGACCTCTACAATGGTAAGAGAATGAAGCTGTGCTGTTTTAAGTCACTACGCTGTGGTCATCTGTTGCAGCAGCAACAGCAAACTAATACATCATCGAAACCAACATCCTTTCTACCTGAGCTTCCCAGCTGGGATGCCACAAGATACTGATCTCCTCGTCCCAAGAGGCAGCTGGTGGGGACCAGGGGCAAGACTCACATGGAGCTTCCGAGGCTATCCCAGATGCCACACACTGTGGTCCATTTCTATGTGATCCCGTGTCATGAAAAAGGGTGGGAAATGTCACCATAATATAAGGTTTCAAGTGTGACACAGCCCCAGGAAAAAACACCTTTCAAACTCCATACGTGAAAACTCCTGAGCACAGTTCATAACAGAGGAGGGAGAATAAAGTGTGAGCATGACTATCAGTTTTAAACTTTCAGAACCACTGCAGAGCTGCCCTGAAAACTTCTGCTCAAGGAGGAAAATGCCATGTCCTCCCTCAGAAGAACACTCTGACACTACGCCACCCAAGGTCCCCAAGGAGCTGTGTGCACCCTGCTGCCCCGGTCCAAGCAGCCCCTCCCAGCCTTGCTCAGGGGCACCACTCTGCCCGGCCTCTGGGGACCCGCGGCCCACAGACCTGATGGGGAGGGAGGGGTCTCCGGCGTCCCACCAGTCTTTCGGGGGGCTGATGTACATGCACCACAGCTCCCAGCTGTACCCGTGGGCCGAGTTCTCGTACCGCTGCACCTCAAAGTTGTCCTGCTTGATGTTGTCGATGGAGGGCAGGATCACTCGCTTCCTGTTTTCCTGGATGCGGGATAGAACTGGCTCGGCCCTGAAACACAGAGAAGTAGACATAAGGTATCTGTCCTGGGCACTCCTCGCCTGGTACGCACCCCAAGAACCCCGGGAGTGAGCAGATGTGACCAAGCTCAGGGTGGGCTGGAGCTAAGATGAAAACTGAGGCCCCGAAGCCTGGGGACCCGCCTACATTGGATCACGCAGCTTCCCGTGCAGGCTGTGACGCGTGTGAAAGCAGCTCACGCCTTCTCCCAGGTGGGAACTGTGACAGGAGCCTGGAGCCAAACTCAGAGCACAGGGTCCCCTCCCACCCAGAGCACCAAGACCCTCTTCACGTCGGCAGTGTGGGATCTGCATGGCACCAATGTTTCCCGTGCAGTGCCCAGCGCTCCCCTGCAGGGCACCACCTGCTTTCCCTGCTGGAACTGAATTCCCCTTTCCAAAATAGGTCGCTTCTGCCCTGGGCGGCCTGCTTTTAATAAGCCTCTTTGTGCGTGTGACTATTTCAGTTGTTTTAACTGATTATTTAATTGATTTCTTGAAAGGGATATAATTTAACTGGTTAGCAGTGGAAGGCCAGGGGCTAGTTCCATACGAAGTCAGGCAGAACCCTGCTCCCAGCGCCTCCCTCCCCCAAGGACTAGAGCAGGCATTAGGCAGGGGTCTGGCCCCTGGGTCAAGGTGCAGCCCGGCTGGCTTAGCAGACGGTCACACACCTCTGCCACTGCATCCAAGGCAGACACCGAAAGGGATCATTTCCCACATTCGAGAAGGAAAAGATGGTTCTCAGAAGCCAGCGCATTAATCTCCCAGTTTAGAACAGGCTTTGGAAAAGAGTCAAGTGAAAATCCCATTCCTCTGCATTATTTGGAAGAATAATGAGAATGCAGGGTCTACAACCCATCTCTTTTCATTTGCAGCTATTGAATTACCTGCTGGCTCACCTCATCTTTCTATTTAAAACGAGCAATAAAACATACCCCGGGCCATTTACTGCCTCCAATGCTTTTGCACACACCATATAGCCTGAAGTCAAATGGGCTGACTTTCTGCGGCTTCTAGATACGCTCTGGCACTCTGCCTCTCCCAGTCCACGCTGGATCTAGCCTCTAGGAACCCCTCTACCACTCAAAGAAAGCCCAGCCACCAAAGGAGGCTTACACCAAATGCTGTTCTCCCAAGAAGCCTTCCCTAATTGCCCCTGTGGAAAGGCTTTTTTCTTCCTCTCAGCTTAGACCATTTCCTCCACCTTATCACGTGCTACCTTTGCTAATCGGTGAACACATGCTATTCTTCCTCATGAGCTAACGATAGCTGATTTTTACCAAGTACTTACTATGTGCTAGGCACCGTTCTCAACATTTGCTGATGAGTGCAGCCCCCACAACAATCCTGTAAAGTAGATACAGTGATCACCATTTGACACGGGAGGAAACTGAGGCCCAGGGAGGTTAAACAGCTTGCCCTAGGCCACTCAGCCAGCTGGTGGAAGAGCCAGGTTTCCAGCCTAGAGGGTCTGGTTGAAGGCCCCCTAAGCTCCACTGCCACCCTGAATGGGCCAAGCTCCCCCAGGCTAGTCTGAGCTTCCCCAGGCTGGTCTGAGTTCCCCCAGGCTGGTCTGCTGCCATGCACACAGAAGCACTCAGCTCAGTTCATCACTGGGCGGTCAGAGATCTACTGAGTATAGTGCAAGTCACGCTTCCGCAGCTAAGGAACTCAGTCTTACTGTCTATGAGAGAATGAACAACTGTTCCCAATCACTGAATTATAAATAGATCTCTTTTCTTATAATAATGTTCACCAATCCTCCCCAGAAAAGAAGACAAGCAAAGTGGGAAAGGAGAACAATAAAACAATGACTGTCTTGTCCCTTAGCAAGGGTTTTCTTGAGTTTTGTCTAATTAATACATCATTTTCACTGGGAATTTTGATGAAGATGACGACAATGCTGGTGGACTGAACAGACAGCAGATGAATTTCTCCCCACTTCCCAGTTTCATCCCTGACAATGGGCTCACTTTCTTCTTCTGCCAACCCTTCTCCATTCTCCCAGTGGCCCCAGAGCAAAGGAGCAAAATGTCCCACCTCCCAGATCTTAGCCCCTCCTGACCACCTGCAGCTCCCAGGTGCCCCTAAGCTTCAGCCCATGACCTACCAGCCAGCAGTGAATTCCACGTGGGCATCAAAGAAGCCAGTGACCTGGCCGGTGGCCACCTTCCAGCCCTCAATGCGAGCACGGATCAGGCCCTCTCTCTTCTGATTCCGCACCACCTTCACCAGCCCCGGGTAGCGCTTCTGGACGTACTCCTCCAAGGGGGCCTTCAGCTCATCTACAAGCGACAAAATGCACGTCATTTCACATTTGCATCCAACTCACTGTGATGCCTACAGAGCTCCAGGAAGTTCAGAGATCACAAAACAAGCTGTAGAAGAAACAACTAGTGAGTTGGGCTCAGAAGAATGCTCTGCCACACTCACTCAGCACAGCCATGTGCTGACAGCATGTGGTGCATACGGCTGGAGAGAAACCAGGCCTGGCTTTTATGTCCCAGCTGTGGCAGGCTGGCAGATGTCCTTTGAGACTTCTTTTCTTTGTGACTCTTCCTGCTTTCTTGGCCAGTATTCTATCCTCCCACTGCCCCCTGGGTCCTGTTTATTAACTTCTATACAAGCCCTTCCATCTGCACATAGACTGATTCTTATGGTATGTGCCTTGGGTGATCCAGACCTATAATCAAGCACCAGATGCAATGCTAGCAGGGCTTGTGCTGGTCTTAGGATGCAAAACAAATCTCTGCCCAGTAGCAGAAAACTATCTCAGTGGAAGAACTAGCGCTACCAGGGGCCGAACACCCTCCCTTCCACAACAAGCAGGCATAAAGTGCTTTATTTCTATGATCTAATTTAATCCCTACAGCAAGCCTAGAAGGTTGCTGGATTAATTCCATTAATTAATTAGATTAATTCCATTTTGCAAATGAATGCACAGCCTTAGGGAAGCTAGCCTATCCCAAGGTCACACACCTAGTAACGGAAATGCTAAAACACCACCCAAGTGTCTCACTCCACAGACACAGAGGCTGCTACTTCTGTGTATGTAACAATGCCAGGTGCAGGAAGGATGGGGGAAGGGCTGACAGGAGAAGGTTCTCAGATCAGTGCACTCTAAGGATCTGCCCTTGGAGATTCTCCTGCTGCAGGTCCCTGTTATGTCCAGAAGCAGAATGTCATCACTGACTTCCAAGTAGAAAATGCTAACAAGGATGTATTCCCAGATATTATGGAAGTCCCTCGCTTCCTCCATACACGTGGCAGCTTTTACCAAATTAAAGACACACATTTGCAGCACGTGGAGAGGCTGACCTCTTTGTGTCATGGCTGTTGTCCCTGGAAAGCAGCCATATGACCCAGGAAGAAATACGGAGAATGAGGAGGTAAGAGAGTCCTCAAGGGTACCGAGACATGAAATTGGTACTGTCAGACAAAGGCACGGATCATGGGGGAACAGGAGTGATATGGACTGAACTGTGTCCCCCCACAAAACTCATCTGTCAAAGACCTAACTCCCAGAACCTCAGGATGTGACTGCATATGGAGGCAGGACTTTTAAGAAGAGGACTGAGCAAAATGAGGCCGTTAGGGTGGCCCTAACCCAAGCAGACTGGGGTCCTTATAAGAAGAGAAATGCAGACACCCATAGAGACACCAGGGAGGGGTGTGCTCAGAGGAAGGACTATGTGAAGAGGGTCTCAGAGGAGACCACCCAGCCATGCCTCGTTCTGCAGCCTCCACTCTTCAGAACCGTGGGAAAACAATTTCCTGTTGTTTAAGCCAGCAGTCTATGGCATTTCGTTATGGGAGCCCAAGTAGACTAATACAGGCAGATTGGTGGCAAGATGCCATCATTCTCAAAGAGAACAAATGGGACCTGGGTGGGAGGGTGCAGAACCTCCAACCCCCGAGCCGTGGCGTGTGGTGGGATGTGGAGTAGGGGTCAGACTGCCTTAGCTTCAGACCTAGTGCTGCCAATTATCACCCGAGTGACCCTGGACAAACTGGCCAGTCAATCTGGGCCTCAATTTCCTCACCTAAAGAAGGGCACTAATGATAACAGAATTGACCTCACAGGGTTATTACGAGGATTAAATGAGTTAATATAGAGAGAATTCCTAGAATTATCCCTGACATAGTGTAAATGCTCAACACCGAGTAGCTATTATTAGTAATTATCTTATTTTCTCTCCACACAGGTTTGAAGGATCTGAAGAGGGATTTCACAGTGGCCCAGAGAGCCTGAGGAAGTCGTGCCAGGTGGTAAAAGTGGGCCTACAGTCCAGAATGGTGGTTCTCAGACCTGCGGGTGCATCAGCGCCAACTGGAGGTGTTGAAACAGCCCCCATCCCCATGCCCTCAGTTTCGCTTTCGGTGGGTCTAGGGAGGGCCTGAGTACTTGCGTTTCTCACAAGACCAGGGTGCCGAGGCTCTGGTGTCGGGAAGCACACCCCAAGGACCACGAGCTCAAATGCACGGGGCAGTCTTTGCACATGCCTGCACACAGCACGCCCCATCACAAGGTATCTATGGTGGAGTTCTCTGTATGGATACCCTATTCACCATCACCCCAGAGCTGGTGAGGGGCAGCGGAGAAGCCTGGCTGTGGAGACCCTCCGCTTCTTCACTTGCCATGAGGGGGGATAACCAAGCAATTGGGACGGGAGAGGCCCAGAGAATCTTGGACTTCCAGAAACCATCTACAGACCTAATGTTGGCTAGGTTTTCTGCCGGGTAAGTGAGTTTCCTGAAGCAAGAATGCTAGTGAGAAGAGGGGCAGGCCACAGCTGCTTAGGGCTCCATTTTTCCCCATGAGCACTGGGTGGGTGGGCAGGGGACAGAGGGATGTGCCAGTCATGGCAATGAATCAGGCATGGGCAGGACACTGGGAATGGCACGACAGGACCCTGCTCACTCACGAGAGTTGGCCTATGACGCAGGAGCCTCCATGTGCTCAGGGAGGACACCCTGAACATGGAGTTGAGCTCCATGCCAGGGCACCCGCAGGCACTGCTAACCCACTGATGCCAGGCAACCTGCGACCTGGCTGTGGCTCTGCCCAGTAAGCGGACGTCAGCATCGAGCTGTGTGAGGCACCATGGCTAAGTATCAAGGGATTTCCCCATTTGATAAGTGGTCATGAGACTGCAAGGGAGAGAAAAAGGTAGGAATTTCTGAAGTTGGAATAAGTGCAGATCACTGAGGCTGCCCTTCCTGCATGTTGAGGCTACCGAGACATGGACACGAAAGGGCTTTGCCAAGTATAAAGGGATAAAGGATAATGTCCAATCATTTGGTATTATCCTCATGGCTGTTAGGAGTAAATGAGAAGCTATAAATAAAGCCCTTAATATGCATTCAATAAATGTCAAATCTAATAATAATTGGTTCAATACTATCAATAACATGGATCAATTTTATAACTTCCAATGAAGTCTTTTTTTTTTTTTTGGCTGTCATGTACAGAAATCAAACCCCGGAACTTGGTGTTATCAGCAGCTCACTCTAAACAACCGAGCAAACTGGCCAGCCTTACAACAACTTGTCTCTCTACCTAACTAGCCATATCACTGCACAGGGGTAGACACTATTCTCACTCTGACAAGTTCAGGGACACATTGTCCGAAATACAACTGAAGCTACAGCCTATGGGCTATTATGGAAACACTGGGAGAGGGGTCACCACCCAACTAGCCAGGCTTAAGAACAAGTGACACAGAGCAGGCGTCTCTCCTCAGGCCCTGCAGCATGACTCTGAACCTTACTCATAAGGTGTGGGGTTATGGCCTCGCCTGGATTCAAAATCAACTTGGACACAGGCGCTCCCTCGAGATACTTACAGTCAGGTTAAGAAGATATGTCCAAACATTACCATACTCAAACACAGCCACAGAGGACGTGCTGTGAGGAGCCACAGAGGGAGACATTATTTTGGCAGGGCATGTTCATGGAGAAGG